TGCGGGACCCGCGACGGCGCCACCGGCCGGGGGCTCGGGCTCGGCCCGCGAGGGCTGGCTCTTCAAGTGGACCAACTACATCAAGGGCTACCAGCGGCGCTGGTTCGTGCTGAGCAACGGGCTCCTGAGCTACTACAGGTAACGCTTCCGGGGCGCTGCGCTCGGCGACTCGCGGCTCGGCGCCGGCCCGGCTCAAGGTTGTTCCCAGCGCGGCTTCAGCCCTGCCCTCGCCTCTCTGGCCTCCGAGGCTTGGGCGGCCCGCGGCCCGCCGCCGCCCGGAGTGGACAGGCGCGCCCGGGGGGCTGCTCTTCTCCGACCCGCCCGTCTCCTCCCAGCAGGGGCTGGGGGCCTCATCCGGCCCTGCGCCCCCCTGCTGCTGTAGGCAGGCGTCGAGAAGCCAGGCGATCGGGGTCGGGACGCAAACACAAACATCTCCCGAGCGCTGGACCTGTGCAGTTTTGCTACAGCGTCGCCGGCTGCCCACAGCCGCGCTGGGAGCTAGGAGGTGCCCATTCCCAGAGCTGGAGGATTCGAAGTCGGAACCCCTCGTGTTCACCCCAGCGTGACCTAAAACCCAGGTCACTGTGCGAGGCAGTCAGGGAGAGAAGCGGTTACTTGTCTGAGCAAGTAAGTTTGTAGGTCACGGATACTGTGTGCATTTTACACAGGAAGTATAAGAAGTACCCGTTAGGGCAGTCTTTGCTGTAATGCGATTTCTCATTGACATCTTTCCCCTAACACTTTCATATCTGGGCCTCAAAATACTGATGTTGAGGAACAGCTCCCTGTGAGTTTCTTTTCTGTCACAGACCTCTCTGCCTCCAGGAGAGTTAGGGGTGAGCAGACTTCTCTGCTGTTGTATTGGCTTTTTGAGAATTTCAGGGAGATTGAAGGAGGGGTTGGACGGAGGTCCTGGGTAGGAGTACATTCTTACCTGTCCCGTAAAGATAAAAGGTGCCTTAGGTAGCTCAGCCCCTCTCCTTAATGACATTATGAGCAGTCGTGTGTCTCATTTACATTATTGTATTGAGATTTGATTTTCATTTTAGCTTTTCTACCTGTTCATCCAGGGTTGTCAGTTCAGGGTGCCGAGGTTTTGGTTTGCTGTGTAGTCTTCTCCCCCCCGCCAGTGCAGGTTTTCCTGTTGTCACTGTGTCATTCTCATGGCCACTTCCTCGGATCCTGGCGTGGCCAGCAAATCACTGTTAGCTGGGTGTGTAGCCAAGCGCCTTAACGCGTGGTCTTTTCTCTTCATCCAAGCCATGTTGTCCACCTTCCAGGCCAGCTGAGTCTCTTCAGCACCAGTCTTGGCCAATACTGACCTTTGCCATCAGTAACTTGCATGTTGTATTTGCAGTCACTTTTAATTTCTCTTACAAGAGCTAGCGAGACCTGTCTGACTGCAGGTAAAATTCTTTCCAGAATGTACCAACCCTTGGCGGGGCATCATGGTTCAGGTCTGTAATCCCAGCCCCCAGGAGGGTGAGGCAGGAGGATGACCAAGAGTTCAAGGCCAGCCCTAGACTCCATGTGAGTTCAAGGCCAGCCCTGGACTACATAGTGAGACCCTTTCTCAAAACAAAGCAAAACAACCCACGTACAGGAAAATATGTGATTGGCCTGTTCTTTCCAACTATGATGGGCCCACCCACAAACTACCAGGCACCTGGAGCTAGGTCATCGTATCTGTGTGCGACCCTCAAGGTTAGATCTTGGAGCCTGGAACTACCTTCTGTCCAGATGGGCACAGGTGGTGCATTCTCCCCATCGGGGTTCTCTGGTGTCCATCTATCTTCTAGAATTATTTAGCCGACATGCCATGCCTCCTGCTCTTTAAGCCTCCCAACCTGCAAGCTCTTGTTTATGCCATTCCCCAGATACTGATTTCCTTCTCAGCTTACATCCTAGCCCCATCCTCTGATGAGCTGCCCTAATAGATTCTGCCAAGCCACTTTGTGTGTGTGTGTGTGTGTGTGTGTGTCCGTGTCCCATGCTTCCTTACACGCCCAGTGTCAGAGATGCCCTGTTACTTAAAACTTTGTGCAGAATCCCAGCTCTCTCAGAAACATCAGGACGGGCTGGAGTATTGGTTTTCCTGACCCGCTTCTAGAGATTAAATTACTGTTTCAGCTGGCCTTTTTATGCAGGAACTTTCTAGCCAGAAAATGCCACCTAATACTACTGTGGAGCCTTAAGAACTTTGCTTGCATCCTGAGAATTACATCTTTTCACCTTCTGCACTACTCATTTATGAGCATTGGTCTGAAAGAACTTTGAGGGCATGCCTGCCTTGCTCCTAGAGTTCCTCGGCATTTGTTAAACTGCTGTAGACTTCATGTTTGAGGCAGTGCTGTAGTCCATGAAGATCACCCAGGCAGAAGAGATTCCTGGGCAGTGAGTGGTTTGTGAGAAGTGGTGCTAAGGAAGACTGTGATCGAAGGGGGCCAACCAAGCAGCACCTTTGGACTAGAAAGCTAGGCTGAGCTGGCCATCGGGTGCCTCTCTCTCTTATTCAGGCTGCATTATTCATAATGTAACTGAAGCTTGGGGCGGGGAGGTAAGAATAGAAAAAGCAGGATTCACGTTACGATGTGGCAGGTGCAGGCGATGGAAAGTGGCCCAATCCATTCAGAGCCCCCTCCCCGGGCCCCGCGATCCCAGGCTCCTCACTTTGTGCATTTGAGGAAGAAAAAGAAGTTTCACGTGACAGATGGAACAACAGCCAATCTGTCTTCCGAAGCGAAGCACAGTCGATGGACTTTCTCAAACATAGGAAACCTGGGTTTCTGAGCGAGGGCGTGTGCCGTTGCTGGCATGCAGGAATTCTGGCTTCGCCAGGTGTGTTTGGGCACTTGGCTCCCCTGAAAGGGAAATGCCTCTGCTCTGTCCTGTTGGCAAAGGACTTTGACCTCTTCATGTTCCAAGTTGGACAGGGAAAAGTGCAGTCTCAACATGCAGGTGCCCCGGCCTAACCAGCAGGCTGTGAAGAAATTAGCACAGTTTTCACTGTACACTCAACGGTGGGGAGGAAGCCTGGTATTTTATGTGAAGTGTCTTGTAGCTTGTTGTCACCAAATACTGCTGTAAAGTTCAGAAGTGAAGCTATTAATAGAGCTGTCGGTCAGGAGAGATTGGGGAAACTGCACCCAGTCCTCGGAGTGCAGATGTGCTGAATCTTTCCTAGCTATTAATAGGATGGCTTAGGGTTCCCACCCGTGGAAGTCCGCAGGCCTTAGGAAAGAGTATATTCCAGAAGGATGAAAATGCCTGGGGAATCTTTCATGATTACTCTTTCTGTACTGTGCCAGGCACGGGTCATTTGTATTCCACAGCATTTGAGCCCCCGCCTATGTTGGGTAAACACGGGAGGGTGCCTTTGCCCTTCTGAGATATAACTTAAGCGAGGTGCGACAGATCTCACTGGGGCTGGCTTACAGTGAGTTCCATAGCTTCGTATGGCTATGCAGAATGGAGCTATCTGAGGAAATGAGATTGTGCAAAATTGTGTGGTAGAGAGTTATAAAGCACTTCATAACTTGCAAGTGGAAAATATTTCTTGAGTGCAAAAGGACACGGGAACTTTTGAGGTGAAGGGAACGTCCTACATCTTGATTGTAGTGCTGGTGCTACACAAGTGGATACACTTGTTGAAAATTCAGTTACTTGTGCCCTTAAAATTGCTGAATTAATATTGCATGTAGCAGAGCTCAATAAAGCCGATTTTTAAAAAGCTAATATTGAGAGGAACTGGGGGCAATAAAATCTAACTCAGAAACAATACTTTATGGCTTCGGAAAGAAATTCCCTACTGTTGAGATTGTTTAAAGGAAACATAGCTAGATTTGTTGATTCCTAAGACTTTCATTTTTCAAAGGACTCAGAGTTAGGAAAAGGAGTGAATGTCCGAAAGGAAGAAGCTCCTGTCACCTGTGCTCAGCTGCCCGTCTCCTGACTGCAGGTCGAAGGCGGAGATGAGGCACACCTGCCGCGGTACCATCAACCTGGCCACGGCCAACATCACTGTGGAGGACTCCTGCAACTTTGTCATCTCCAACGGGGGCACGCAGACCTACCACCTGAAGGCCAGCTCGGAGGTGGAGCGGCAGCGCTGGGTGACCGCGCTCGAGCTGGCCAAGGCCAAGGCTGTCAAGATGCTGGCAGAGTCAGGTGGGGGCGCTGTCTCCCAGGGTCCCCGGCTGTTCAGCGCACAGTGCTTCTGCATCGAGGTCCTCAGGTCCTCAGCCAGGGCCGATTCTCCCCCCACGCCCAACCCCAGGGACTCGAGCAGTGTCTGGAGATGTGGTTAGGGTCACAGAGAGGCCGGGCTCACTACTGCCAGGGGAGGCCAGGGTGCTGCTGACCTCGGCCCAGTGCACGGAGGGCTGCCAGCCCGGCCCGGGCCCGGAAAGCTGCCTTAGACCTGACACACATGCTCTTGCCTTGAATGCCAATGCAGACCTCAAAATTGGGGGACATAATTACATGGTGACCAGGTCGACTTTAGGGTTATTACAACTTGTAGTTTAGGGTTAGCCATGGTATTTTTTTTTTTCCTGATGTCCTCTTATTAGTTAAGTTGAAGCAATCTTTTTTTTTTTTGGTACTGAGGCTCGAACTCAGGACCTTGTGCTTGTGAGGCAGGCGCGTGCTACATCCCCGGCTCACGTTGAAACAATCTTAATAGACAACCAAAACCTGATGTTTCCTATGCAAATGTTTCATTTTGCTAAATTAATCCCACTGAAAAGAACAGTGTGTTTGGTCACCCTGAGCTTGTTCCCTTGGAGTGAGGCGGCGGTCGCCTGTTGACTTGGGTTTGCTGCATGTTTCAGCCTCTGCTGTGTTTAATGGCTGCCAAGCGGTGAGGAGGATAATTCACTGCTCCATAGAGTTTTTAACAGTAGGTTACACTTTGGCCTTGACTGCTTACTCTAGCAGATAGGGCAGGTCTCTTCTTACTTCTTTTGTTTTACTTTTAGTGCTGATGTCAGCTACCCCAGAGGAAGTGACCCTGTTAGAAAAGCACTTTGCAGCTACAAAGTGTTAAGTGTGAAAGGACAGTGGGACAGCAAGAGACACAGTGTAGCTTCCTCACTGACTTGCTATGGGAGAGCTATTTGGTATGAGGTGTTCACCGCATGGCTGTGGAGCACACTGCAGAGAAGTGGCCAGGTCAGGTGTTTGGTGGGGTGCAGTGGGAAGGGCCCGGCTGGGAGTCACGCGGTCTCTCGCTTCCCCACAGATGAGTCTGGAGACGAAGAGTCTGTCTCGCAAACGGACAAGACCGAGCTGCAGAACACCCTGCGGACCCTGTCCAGCAAGGTGGAGGACCTGAGCACATGCAACGACCTGATCGCCAAGCACGGCACTGCCCTGCAGCGCTCCCTCAGCGAGCTGGAGGCCCTCAAGCTGCCGGCTGAGAGCAACGAGAAGATCAAGCAGGTGAATGAGCGGGCCACGCTCTTCCGGATAACGTCCAACGCCATGATCAACGTGAGTGCACTGGGATCTTCGAGTCCTCCTCCCTTCCTCCCTCTCTCCGATGCTTCACGTTGTACTTGATGGAGCCCGGAGCTTCAAGTCCTGCTTCCTGCTCAGGGCTTAGGTTGCATTGTTTGTTGCATGAAACAATACAGACCACACACGGGATGGCTTGTGTGCTCTGCTCATGCGTTAGCCTGGGAGGAGTCAAGAGGCCAGGGTTCCGGCCCTGCCTCTGCCACAAGCAGGACAGCCATGCTGATGTTCAGTCCCGGGGGGCCTGTGCTTGCATTTACAGTTGTGCCTCGGGTCACAAACTTAATTCATTCCAGGACTCTGGAAAAGATGGCTGCAGTGGTGTCTGTCACCCGATGCAGAGTTCGCAATCAAAAACAGTTTTACCAGACACTTCTGTTTGTGAAACAAATTGTTTGCAAATGGTGTTTGTGAATCGAGGTGCCACTGTGTTTTACTTTTTTCCAACATAATCTTTTGGAAGTGAAAGTCTGCACGAGTCCTTTCCGCCGCACGTGCTGCAGCTTCGTGTTGGCACCGTGTCCTGCCCAGCCGTTGCATTCCTATGAGGGGTTGAGTGCCATTTAATTAGCCCTGAGGTTAGTCTTTGGCTGCCGTGGAACTTGGTTGATAAGACAAAGTACTCAACTCCCCCCCTCTGGGCTCCTAGTGACCCCTAGGGTTGCTGTCGTGGGCTTCGGGACATTTGAGCTGCTTACGTGAAGGCTGCAGGTAAGCACAAAGCACCCTGGCTTTCCCGAGCTACTGAGAGGTGTGAAATGATTCCATGGTCCAAGAAGTGCTGTCCTCCCTCTCCCAGAACCTGATTCCCACCTGGCAAGTTGTTTTGGTCCCTTCCACATGAAGACACTTGCAGACATTTCCTAAGAGAGGACGGCGCTTTGAGGTCTGTACAGGGCTGCTGTACCCTCCGTAACTGGTCTCTGCCTGAAGTGCACTTTCTCTGAGTTGCGGGGGTCGTGATAGCAGTGCATCGCAGCTCCGCACGGGCACGCTGCATTGGCGGCAGGAAGAATACGTTTCACTCAGTCTTTTTCCTGCTTACAACGTCACTTTGCTTACTATCAGAGTGAATTTGACAGTCAGTGTGACAGGTCAGTGTATTCATTTGCTAAGTGCGTAGCTGCTGTGTGCCTCACGCTGTACTGGGGGACATCCCTGAGGCCAGCTGTGGTCCCTGCCCTTGAGCACTAGGGACCCCTTGGGAGTGTGCTGAGTGCATGGGTGCAGTGAGCACCGGCTGCCGGCATCCCCCTGGAGGAGGCCAGCTAGGACACAGGATGCCAAAGGAGTGTGGAAGTCTTCCATGAAGAAAGGCGATGGGGTCGGCCTGGATTCCCACTTTCTGTACCAGCAGGTCCCTCCAGGATGCTGGAGGGCTGTCAGGGCTGGAGGTGACATGCTCACAGTACCTTACATCAGTCGGCCTGACGCAGTTGTGATAAGTGTTAATCAGAAAGAGCGGGGGCACTCAGAGGCAGAGCGCCTGTCCAGCAGGTGCAAGGGCTTGGGTTCGTCTCCTGCGCCAGAGCTTTAATAAGAATGAGCTGGGTGTGGTGGCACACGCCTGTAGTCCCAGCACCCGGGACGCTGAGGCAGGAGGACTGCCCTGAGTTTGAGGCCAGCCTGGGCTGCACAGTGAGTTCAAGGCCAGGCTGAGCTACACAGTGAGACCCTGTCTCACAAAACTACAAAAAGGAACGGGAGAGGAGTTGGGGGCAGTGGGCAGTGGAGCATATGTGGGTCCCTCTTATTTATGCCCTGGGAACTGCTGCTGATTGACTCAGTTCAGGAGGAAGCCGCTGGAGCCAAGGCTGCAGGGGAGGAGAGGGGTGCGGATCCTGCAGAATGGGTTTGGTGGTAGCAGATAGCAGGCGGATGAGACCGGCTTTGGCACAGGCATGATCATAAGTGCTCACAGGACTGGACGCCTGCAGGGTTTTGAAAGCTTTGTGTAAAGCAGCAGCTCTCTGAGGTCATTACTGTTATCATTTATAGATAAGGAAGAGGGGGCCCCCGAGTGTAGTCTGCACTGCTGCTACAGGAGTGCTTGGAAGGAAATGTGCAGATTCAGAAATGCTGAAGACTCAATGGGACTTGATGATTGGATGTGAGGGAGAAGCAGGACTAGAAGGAGGAAGCCCTTCCGGTTAACGGGTGGGCAGCTGGGAGGGCTGCACCGTCCCGGCAGGGAACATGAGTGGATTTGGTTCAGAGGTTGCTGTGAGCCCGGAGAGGCGGGTGGCCGTCTGCTCTGAAGCTCGGTGGTACTAGCTTGGAGTCACTGACCTTGTAGCCGTGACCTGAAGCAGCAGCTGGAAGACAGCAACCAACTGTGGCAGCAGTGTGCCTTGGGAGAGACGCTCTGTTTGCCTTTTAGTTTCCTGTAACCGGAAGAAACTAGAGCCTTATGTGTATATTGTTTCCGTCCCCTTCATTTATCACCCACACTTATACCAGGCTTCTACGTCGAGACAGCCAAGGTGCTGGAGATGTGTGCAGGAATAGGCTTGGAGAGGGTCTTCAGTTTGCTCGTATCCATCTGGAGAGGGAAACTGAGCCACGAGAGTGCCGTGCATGGGTGGGATAGAGTGGGAGGCGTGTAAAAAGAGACCGGGGAGGTGTTGCCAAAGAAGCGACAGGTGCCGTCTTCCTGAGGACCAGAGATTTTCCTTAGAGAAGAGCACAGAAAGGCCGGGCCAGGCGCACTGAGGGCCTCGGGCCTGGGGTCTGTGTGTCCGGAAAACGATGCGCCTGCCGGCATGGCGGGAAGGAGCCTGTGGAGGAGGACTCCGGGGCCATGGTGAGGGCCCTTGGTGCTCATGGGCAGCGGTTCAGGGTTTGCACCAAATCTTAGTGGGCAGCAGAGAGGGACTGGTGTGAGCAGATTGAAGTTTTCTCTGCAGAGTCCCTCTTTGGTAGCTGAAATAGCCTTCTAGTTTTCAAGGTCAAAAGCTAAATAAGTTTCCCAGTATTGAATTCAGTGAAGAGTCCCTGCTCCTGCTGTCTCAGTTCCTCAGCTCCTGGCTGCTTGATTTAGTCAGGAATCCACTGGAAGCAGTTTTCCTGTGCTGCGTCTCCTTTCTGTGGGTCTCTTGGGAGTCTGCACTCGGGGCTTAGGGTGCTGCCGAGAATACCTTGTCTGGGTTTGCTGCTCGCGTGGTGTTTGTCTGGCCCTCGTGACCAGGAAGTAGAAGAGAAGGTGACAGCCACACGCTCTCTCCTGGGTTTGGCCTGGTGTGGCACTGAGCTGGTGGCCGGGTGCAGTGCAGGCCAGGGCGGGGTCTGACGGTCCCACTCCCTGCAGGCCTGCAGAGACTTCCTCATGCTGGCCCAGACCCACAGTAAGAAGTGGCAGAAGTCGCTGCAGTACGAGCGAGACCAGCGGATCCGGCTGGAGGAGACCCTGGAGCAGCTGGCCAAGCAGCACAACCACCTGGAGAGGGCCTTCCGTGGGGCCACGGTGCTGCCTGCCAGCACCCCTGGCATTGCCAGGCCCGGGAAAGGTAAGGCCCCGTCGGCAGTTGGCAGTGTCCTCCTGCTCATGCTGGAGGCCCGCTCTCCCAGCTCAATGCGTGTCAGGCAGAAGTGGGCACCTGACTCCTGGTTCTCTGGCTTTCCGCCGTCTGTTGCTGTGTTCGTGGCTGGTAGTTAGAAGAGCCTGCGACCGGGTGTTTGGCGATAGTAAGCAGCGGAAACAAGGGAGGCTCTTCCCCTTGTAGATCAGGGCTGCGCGGGCAAAGGGGACATGAGTGACGAAGACGACGAGAACGAATTCTTTGATGCCCCAGAGATCATCACCATGCCAGAAAGTCTGGGCCACAAGTGAGTGATCCTCAGTGGTCAGCAGGGCCTGCAGCGCCGCGCCTCGGTGGGAGCGGCTCGCCACCCAATGGCCCTCGGTCTCTCCCCCGGGTCCACCTTGGGTCTCCCTCTTACTGGGCTTGGCCCTCTGCTCTCTGGAGGACTGGTGAGGGCCACTCGATCTCGGCTCTTGCCTCTAATTCCCGAGTTTGCTGTCCCTGCAGACGCACCGGCAGCAACATCAGTGGAGCCAGCAGTGATATCAGCCTCGATGAGCAGGTAAGTTGGGGAGTTGTCGGAGGTGAGGGGCCTGGCTGCGCTTCGCAAGGATTGGAATCTGGGATGTGCTAAGGGAGCAGGAAGTCCTGACTCTCTATTTAGTTCTTAGCACAGGGGAAGGGAAGGTTCTAGATGGTAGGTGTCTCCTCTTTGCAGGTGATTGAATGGGCTTGTTCTTTGTCTCAGTACAAGCACCAGCTAGAGGAGACCAAGAAGGAGAAGAGAACCCGGATCCCATACAAGCCAAACTATAGCCTCAACCTGTGGAGCATCATGAAGAACTGCATCGGAAAAGAGCTCTCCAAGATCCCCATGCCGGTGAGGCCCTTGCGCACCTGGTTGTGTGTGTGTGTGTGGGGGCTGGCCTCCTCCCTGGCAGGCATCTCGCCTGGGCCGCCCCATTGAGTGTTGGGGTGTAGGTGTGGCTGTGGGTCCGGTGTGTTCCCCTGGTGCCCCGAATTGGCGCCTGCGTTCAGTGACCGGCGTTCACGGCCCGGTTCCTCTGCCAGGGCGTGCAGAGACAAACAGCATCGTTTCTGCCTCTTTGAGGCATCGTTTCAAGGGACAGACCTGAAAATAGGCTAAAAAATTTCTTTTCTGGTAAAGTATTATGGGAAATACTACCAGACACACAGAGGCTTCAGGAGCCCCGAAGCAAAAGCACATCGGCCTCAGCCGGAAGTGGGTCCCTCTCCATGGGAAGGCAGGGCCACACTGCTCCATGGTGGGCGATCTGTTTTTACAGCCGCACACATGGTCCCATCCCTCCGGCCTAGAGCCCTTTACTGGGTCTCACGGCTTCGAGCACGGTGCAGACCCCTTGGTGGGCATGCTGCTTCCTCCCCAAGGGCCAGGCTCTGCTCTTGCTGCCTGAACTTTTCTTCTGTTCCTCCTGACCCTTGCCCCTTTTCTTTTGCTGGGGCCCCGACCCTTGGCGGGATTTGGCAGGAGCATTGCCTCTGTCAGGAAGGCCCCAGCACAGCGGGTCAGGCCAGGCTGCCTCCCCACTGCGCTCCAGCCAGGCCGGCTGTTAGTGCATGGCGGTCACTGCGTTGCACCTCCTCATTCCGCAAACGCTGAGTGCCGCCTGTTGGCCTGGTACTAGGCCAGCACCTGCCACTTGGGTCCAGGTTCAACTTAAAAATAGAAGTTCAGATATATTGGTTTAAACCAGGGGTCCGCAAACCTGGCCACGAATGGTTTTTATATTTTCTAATTTTTAATGGTTGAAGAAAATCAGACGGCCTATACTTTATGAGGCACCGTCCAGGAGCTTTATAGGGACGCAACAGATAGGCATCCCTCACGCCTGTGAGCGGCTGCCGTCCCGCTGCTCTGGCAGTGCTGAGTGGCGTGACCGCCCCGTGGCTCGCTGCTTCCACATGGCTGCCTCCCCTCATGCGGGCGTCAGGAGCGGGTGCACCCCGGCCTGCTCTTGGCCTGTCCTCCGCCTCGCCCTCGGCTCCCCCATGGCTGCCCTGTCCTGGGCCATCAGGGTCACTTGCAGTCAGCGGGAAGAGAAGGTGAGCAGGCTCAGCCTTCAGAGGGTCCTTCTGGAAACTTCTGACCCATTAAGCTCTTCCTGAGCCACTGGAGAGAGAAGGCCTGGAGCGAAGGCCCGGGGAAACGTGCTGTGGGCTCTGTCCACAGCTGGTGCTGGCAGACTGAACCACAGAAAGCGTTCTTTCTTTCTACGCATGGGCAGTGCTGGTCTTACTGACCCTCATAGCCTGATGCTTAGCCAGCGCTGAGGTAATGAGTAAGCTAGGTCTTCAACTGCAGGTAGGTGTTTGTATCTAAATCCAGGATTTCTGTGAAAAAACTGTTGGTGAGAACATGCACAGCTCTTGGCCCGTTGCGAGCATTCCACATCCAGAAACACGGCAGTCCAGGTGCAGGAGGAGTCCGAATCCTGGCCTCATGCGGAGCTGAGCTGGGACTTAGCAGCTGTCTAGCCTGGGGTAGAAGCCGGCCTTGGACATCTCAGTGGTCAGGTCAGGGCTGCACGTAGCTTACTAACCTAGCCGGGCCTGGTGTGTACACCTGTGATCCTGGCACCTGTGAGCAGGAGGATTTCTGAGCTCCAGGCCAGCCTCTCTCAAAAAGCCAAAGAAAATCGACTTTTTTCTTTCCTCCTCCAAGAACCTGAAATACCTGCCTTCCTCCGAGTGTCCTCATGCTGAAGTGCACTGTATTTTATAGTGCACTCACTCCAACCCCTTCCCCTTCGTGCCACCTCCTGTGGCTCAGGTCTCAGAGCTTACAGGTAGTGCCAGGCATGAAAGTGGTGACCGCTGCCACTCACGGGCTGCAGCAGCTGACCAAGGACAGTGGCTGCCTGCAGGCCAAACCTGCGAGCTGCTCAGCCTTCCTTTTCCTCTCCCAGTGATGGATTTATTACCTTGGCGTCTCAGTGTCTTTCTCCACCTGCAGAAAAGACTGCCTCCTCAAGCCTGGGCAAAGTCTTCATGCCTGCTCTTTCCCTTGCAGGTGAACTTTAACGAACCCTTGTCCATACTTCAGCGCCTTACTGAAGATCTGGAGTACCACGAGCTGCTAGACCGAGCTGCGAAGTGCGAGAACTCTCTAGAACAGCTCTGTTATGTTGCAGCTTTCACCGTGTCCTCCTACTCCACTACTGTCTTCCGTACCAGCAAGCCATTCAACCCGATCCTCGGGGAGACCTTTGAGCTAGACCGGCTGGAGGAGAACGGGTACCGGTCCCTCTGTGAGCAGGTAACGGGGCCTCAGGACCACTTCCTGTCTGGAGCAAGGGAAGGTGCTGCTCGCCCTGGTGTCCATGTGCAGAGGTGCTGGTCGCTGCCGCCCAGCCGCCTCCTCCAGCGTCAGCACTGGGGGCCTGGTCTCGCGGGTGGAAAGAGATGTTGGGGACTTGGGCACTTGTTACCAGTTAAAGGCGTGTCTTTTCCTTCCCCTTCTGATTTGAACCCGGCTCCTTCAAGGTGAATCATCACCCCCCTGCTGCCGCGCACCATGCTGAGTCCAAAAATGGCTGGACGCTACGCCAGGAAATCAAAATCACCAGCAAGTTCCGAGGCAAATACCTCTCCATCATGCCCCTCGGTAAGGCCACATGGTCACAGTGCCTCTGGACGCACTGGGAGGCGGGTGCACTTCTTAGGCATCCGGCCTCGCTCCGTGAACACCTGTCCTCCCAGCTGCACCTCGAGCTAGCGTCTCTGAGCCCCATTTAGAACCTAAACCCTGGCATGCCTCTTTCTTTTAAGTTCAGTCTGCTAATGGTGTTTCCTCTGTCCCTCTGCAATGAGCACATGCGATCACATGGCTAGGGCTCTTGGCTGGCCTCTCCCCTGTCTTCTGCCTTCCTCTGCCCATGGGTTAGGTGTCCTTTATGTACTGGCTGAATTCCAGGTAAGATGAAACTTTATTTTAAAAGATTTTGTAGGATCACAAATTAATTTTGTATAAGATCACAAAGATTCAGGCGTGGGAACAGACATCCTAATATGTGCTGTTAGAGTAGTAAACAAAATCTTTGCATATAGATAGATGGGGTATAAATTATAGATTTTATACATTGTAATCTCATCATTCATAGTTTTACCGTTACTTTATGCAGTTTAAGTCACAGTAGGGACAAAGTTGCCAGCAAAACTGCTTACCTTGTCCTTTATGCCGTTTAACTGTAGCTACCTTTATGGTCTGGTTTTGTCTTTGCTTTTCCTTTTTCTTTTCTCTCCTTTCTTTTTCTTAATGTGGTCTTAGGGATTGCACCCAGGGGCTTTGTTCTCAGCTACATCCCTAGCACCTTTTCAGTTTTTCACAGAAACAGGGTCTTGCCAAGTTGTGGAGATGCCCAGCCCGGGCTTCAACTCTGACCCTCCTGCCTCGGCCTGCTGCAGTGCGCCGCCACCCCTGCCTTCCTTGTTCCTTAGTGTAGCCATCTCAGCCCGAGGCAGACCGGTAGTGCTTCTCACCGGATAGATCTGCTCGTTATGATCCATGCCATGTTTGTGCTGATCCGGGGAGGGGAGGTCTTGATTCTCCTTGATGTAGAAATGGCTTTGACAGTCCTTTCCTCTTCACATTTTGAATGTCATCCCACGCCTTCTGGCCTCTTGGGTTTCTTTTCTGTTGCTTTAATTGTAGTGCAATGCACATAACTTAAAATTTAGCATCTTACCATTGTCATGGCACAGTTCTGGTCATCAGTACCTGGGGGAGGTTGGGCACCGTCAGCCCCTCTAGCCCGGGACCCTGCGTCGTGTACAGCAGGGACCGGCCCCTCCCTCCCAGGCCCGGACAGCGCGTTCTTCCTGGTCCCGTACCCTGTCTGCCCTTTTGTGTCCGGCTCACTTTGCTTGGCACACTGCCTCCAGGGCTCGTCCGCTTTGTAGTACACTGCGGGGTTCCCTCCTCGTTGTCCAGCATGTTGGAGACCACGTTTTGCTTGTGCCTGGGTCCCTCAGTGGACCCAGGCTGCCCTCCTGTTTAGCTGCTGTGAGCAGTGCTTCTCAGTGTGCAGACACCTCTTGGAGACCCTGCTTTCCATTCTTTTGGGCCATACCCACAAGTGGGGTTAGCAGATCACATGGTGCCTGTGGTTTGGGTTTTGGAAGGAGCTGTCATGTGGTCTTCCGCATGGACCATAACATTGCTGCTTTCCTACCAGCAGCCTACATGGGCTCATTCATTACTCTGCACTCGTCCAACACTCCTTAGGGGCTTTGTTTCAACAGTGATGTTGAGCACCTTTCTGTGTACTTATTACCTACTTGTATTTCTTTAAAGAAAGTCTATTGACATCTTCCATGCTGTTCTTTGTTTTTTGAAACAGGATCTCTGCTGTATATTCTAGGCTGGCCTTGAACTTTCAGTGATTCTCCTGCCTCAGCCTCGAAATTGCTAGGGGATTACAGGCTTGCCCCACCACACCCAGCTGCATTTTTAAATGGAGTTACTTTTGTTGTTAAGTTTTCAGAATTCTCTATTCTGGGTGTCAGTCCCTTATCAGAAACATGATTTACAAATACTTTCATTTCTGTGTCACGGAGCTGATTATGTAGGGTTGCTTTTCTTTTTATTAGTGTTGTCTTTTTACTGTGTTGGTATTACCCTTTGATGCCAAACATTTTTCTAATTTTTAAGAAATCTGTTGTCTACTTTTGATTTTTGCCTGTGCCTTTGCTATCATTCCCATCTAACAGTGTGGTGTCATGAAGCTCTTGCCCTATGTTTTGTTCTGTTTCTGGGAGTTTGGGTTCAGACAGGGTCTCCCTGTGCAGTTCAGCCTGGCCTCGAACTCCTGTGTTCCTTCTGCCTCTGCCTCCTGAGTGCTAGGGTTGCAGATGTGCGCCACCATGAGGCTTGCCTTGTGTTTTCTTCTGAGTTAAGTTTGAGATGTTACATTTTGCTCCATTTTGAGTTAATTTTTATGCATATTATGAAGAGAGGTCCAGCTTCATTCCTTTGCATGTGGAGGTGCAGTTCTCCCAGCGACGCCTGGGGTACGACTACCCTTTGTCTTGCTGGAGGGTCCCAGCACACTCGCAGGTCTCGGGCCTGGCCGCTGGCCCTGTCCAGAGGCCCTTGGAATGTCTGTGTCAGCCCCACACTGTTGATTTCTTAGTGCAGCCGTGTGCCAGGTGTGAGATGAGGGTGCGACTTCTCCAGCTTTGCTCTTTCTCAGGACTATTTTAGTTTTTCAGGGTCTTCCCTTGAAGTTCCATATGAATTTTAAGGTGAGTCTCTATTTCTGTAGTAAACATCATTAGGGTTTTGATAGGGATTGTACTGAGTCTGTAGATCGCTTTAGATGAAGTGAGCAGCTCACCAGTGGTAAGTCTTCTGTGAGCAGGGGATGTATTTCTATTTCATTTGATTTTAGCGCCTATTAATTTGGCAGAATCCTGGGTCTCAGTGTGTTCTTTTCATACATGTGTGTAACACGTGTAGATCTCATCATCACCCCCCTTAGCCTCCCTTTACACGCGTGTCATTTTTTATTTTTATTTATTTGTTTACTTACTTTTGAGATTCCATGGTTCCACCGCCTGTCCGGCAAGCTCAAGGACCCGAGTTCGATCCCTGGTACCAAAAAGAAAGGTTCTATTTTTGAGATTCCATGTATTAGGAAATATCTTTAATTTTTTGTTCTTTTGAGACAAGGTCTTGCTGTGTAGTCCAGGCTGGCCTTGAACTCACGGTGCTCTTCCTGCCTCAGCCACCTGAGAGCTGGGATTTCAAGCCTGTGGCACCATGCCTGGCCACTTTCTTGAGCAGTGTTTTACAGTTTTCACCTCATGATTAAGTCTGTTCCTCAGTACTCTCTTGTTTTGTCTTTTTTGGAGGGTACTGGGGATCGAACTCAGGACCTTGGGCTTGTGAGGCAGGCACAGTGCCACGGAGCCAAATCCCCAGTTCCCTTCAGTACTCTTTTGGGTGCTGCTGTAAATGAGTTCTTCATAGCCGTTCCCTATGGGTGTTGTCAGTGTATAGAAATGCAGCTGATTTCTCTGTGTTTACTTTGTACCCTGCTCCTTTGCTAAATTTACGGACAGGTTCTAACAGGGTTTTTGAGGAATCTTTAGCATTTTCTGCATATGAGGTCATACCATGCTAACACTAGTAATCTTCCCTCTTCTTTCCATTGTGCATGTCTTTTGTTCCTTTGTCTTCCGTCCCTGCTCTGGCGAGAATGTGCAGTATAGAAGTGCTGGACGTGGGAACCTTGCTGGGTCCCGAGGCAGCGGAAGCTCTTCCCCTCGCAGGGATGTTTTCTGTGGTCTTCATCCGTGCTCTTTATTATGCTAAGGCACTCTTTATTCCTTGTTTGTTGAGTGGGGTTTTTTTGTTGTTTTTTTTGCTTCCAGGGATCAAACTCAGAACCTTACGCTTGTGAGGCAGGTGCAGTGCCCCTGAGCCAAATTTCTGGCTCTGTTGAGTGTTTTTCATCATGAAAGTACTGAATTTTGTCAAATGTGTTCCTACATAAGAATGATTACGTGCGTTTCTCCCTTCACTCTGTCAATGTGGTGGTGCTTCACAGGTCTGCTCTCACGTGCTGAGACATCCTTGGATTCCAGGAATAAACTATACTTGGAAATGGCATAGGCTCATTCTGCAAAGCTGCTACGTTTGCGTTCCTGTTATTTTCTTGAGGCTTTGTGTGTCACTTTTCAAATGAGATGGTGGTCTGTAGTTTCCTTGTCTTGCAATGCTTATCTGGCTTTGGTATCAGGAAGTATTTGCCTCATGGAATGAGGGGTGATAAGGGAAGGTGTTGAGCAAGAGATTGAGGCCGTATTTAGGTGCAGCAGGTACTTGAAGATGTTTCCAGGGTTAAGGAGAGAAGGCGTGTGGAGGCTGGGGCACAGAGTGGCGTGTGCTCTCGGCAGAGCTGCTCTTCCTGGGCCATTACTGCTCTGCTCTCTCCATCGCCAACTACCAGGGCCACTTACATCTTCCTCCCAGGAAAGACATGCCTCCACCAGGCGTGGTGATGCAGGCCTGTGATCCCAGTGTTCGGGAGGCTGAGGTAGGAGGATCACCAGGAGTTCAAAGCCAGCCTGGGCTACACAGCAAGACAGACCTTGTTTCAAAAAACCAAAAGAAGGGCCAGGGATTTAGCTCAGTGGTTCTACTGCCTGCCTCAAAAGCGCAAGGTCCTGAGTTCGATCCCCGGTACCAAAAAAAAAACTAAAAGAAAGACTTGCCTAAACCAGTTAGCATGTTGTTTTCATTAGTGGTTACAGAGGGAATTTAGAGTAACAGCATTACTGAAATTGATTATATTAGTAGCGCTGTATATAACGTTTTTGATTATTTTAAATCCTCAGTAACCTGTGCCCAGACCTAAGATTAATTCATAGGAACAGGAAAACATACCTCTTGAGTGCCTATAATACTTCAGGTATTTTAGTGGACAGGTATTGTACAGCATGGTGTCTGCAGGTCTGCTGGTGACGGACCCGGGGGGCCAAAGGGAGCTGGAAGCACTCGGGGTGCAGCCCTGTAGGGACTGGATCTAGGCACCGTAGTGACTGTCCTTGCTGGGGCGCAGCTGCACACTGGCTGCACAGAGCCCTCAGGGTGGTCACTCACTGGAGGCTCACAGCTCCAAACAGTGCTTACTTAGCCTTAAAGTTTTATTGTCCAGGGTACAAATCAGGACCAGCTAAGTGCGGGCCCCCATGGGTAGAGCCCGAGAGGGTCCTGAAATGCAGCTCCGTGCCTTCCCCTGGGAGCGGGGCGCATTGCTCATCCGTGACATCATTGTGTTCATAGCCAAGAAACTCCACCACGTTGTGGTGTCCAGAGATCTGATTGGAGTTTCACTTCATACATTTGATTGATTTAATTGTTTTCCCTGTGGTTGGATCGATTCTGGAGGTCAGGAAGTTGGGCTCGTCACAGGTGACTCAGAGCCTGGGCTGTGATGACATGTGATTGACCCTACAGCCCAGTTCGCCCTGGCTCACCCTCTGTGCGCGCTCATTTGCATAGCCCGTGGAACCACTGCGAGTCGCCCCGTTAGCATGAACCCTGGGGTCCGCCGTGAGTAACGGCTATCCCTGAGAAATCACGGGGCCGTAAAGGTTCCCTCCCAGAAACTGGGCAGAGACCAGACAGATTCTCTATTGTATAACACTGGATCACACATGTAAATCATGCTGTAACCCAGGATTGAGTCTACTTCTAATCCAAAGCCTTGCTCTGTCTCCTCCATCCTTCTGTTGTTAAGACCCTGGGTTGGCCAGGGATGTAGCTCAGTGGTTCCGCTGTCTGCCTCACAAGTGCAAGGACCCGAGTTCGATCCCCAGTACCAAAAAAAAAAAAGACCCTGGGTTGAGTGGTTGTTCAAGGCCACAGGTGAATACTAACGGCAGGGCCTGGCCCTCAGTACTGACTGCCCGCCCGTGTGTGCTCCTTCCACGGTCCAACTTCAGTTCTTCTCCTTGGACATAATTTGATCTGTATCCGAAAATTTTACAGTCGGTGTTGTGAAGTATAGCTCCCTCGCTAAGGTGTATTGGTTGTCAGTATTTGTCATCATTTACATTTTATTCATATATTTTTAAAATAAAGCATTCAGTCAACGCTTCTGACATTTAAGAAGGTTATGTCTTTCCCTATACCATTTTCCTTTTAAAGTAAGAAACGCTAATAGAGGGAAACTAGTCCATTGTTATTTTCAATCTGCACGGTGCTGTTTGTCCGCTGTTGCCTTCACTTGTCTACCTCCCTGCTTCCAGGTACCATCCACTGTATTTTCCATGCAACTGGGCACCACTACACCTGGAAAAAAGTTACCACAACAGTGCACAACATCATCGTGGGCAAGTTGTGGATAGATCAGGTGAGGAAAGGCACCCCGTGTTGCTGAGCCCAGGTCACCTTCGAGACGCGTCTTTGCAGGGCTCAGGACAGGCGCACTGCCCTGGGGTTGTTTCTGGGTCACCAGTGTCTTATGGGGACTCTGTCTTGGGGCAGTACTGCCTTCATCATCCCTCATCCTTGTACAGCATAGCATGTGTAAATGACCAAATCGTAACATTCATCAGTGACAAGTAGGCTGTGTGGGGCTCTATGAAGGATACAAGAAAATACAACATGTGATCCCGTACTGCTTTCATTCCTCATCAAATACTTATTGCCAGCAGTAGCTAGGTGCTGGCTTCCTGTCAGATGCAACATTCTCCAGGAGTTCTGTGTCGTTGAAGATGGGTGACAGAGATGTGGGTGGAAATGCGTGTGGCAGTGCACACCAGCTCAGGAGGGCACTGAGGCAGCATCTGATTCACTGTTAGTTCGCTGCTGAGACAGTGGTTCCAGAAAGTGCAGAAAGGGGGCCGTCTTCTGAGCGCTGAGGGAGGCTTCATGGCAGATGTGGGACTGAGCAGAGTCTTACAGAGTGGCCAGGAATTCAGAAGGTAGAAAGGAAAAAATGAATAGGAAGGCTTGCTATGGGTAACCTTGAAACTGTGAGCAGAACACTTCGATTTAAGCAGAAAAGTTTGTAAAGAGGGGATTGGGTTGGAAAGGCAGATTGTGGTGTGAATTTCAGCACACATGCTGCAGGTCCCACTGTGCCACCCTGCATGGGACACACAGTCTTCGTCTCCGCCTGGCATGGTGAGGTGGAGCAGGGACACTTCGCAGCACCCCACGGTTGGCTGATACGGGTCCCGAGCCTGGAGCGCTGGCGGGTGGGACAGACGGGTGCAGGCTCCTGCGGTGTGGGCTTCCAGGCGCCGTCTTCAGAAAGCTAACCTACCCGAGCTTCTCTTCCTTTTGCAGTCTGGTGAAATTGATATTGTCAATCACAAGACAGGAGACAAGTGTAATCTTAAGTTCGTTCCTTATAGCTACTTCTCTCGGGATGTAGCGAGAAAGGTAAGGGAAGTTGGGATTTAGGTTTATCCATTTCACGTGTGCCCCTTAGGGCTGGTGTGCGTGTGTGTGTGTATAACACAAGTGCATAGGTAGACTGCTTTCCTGAATATGGTGAGTCATGAAAACAAGACAGAGTCGGGCTGAGTGGGGACTGTGGCCTACTGTGTGAGTGACCTGCTTTCTTCTCTTGGGTAAGCAGGGGAAGTAAGTCAGAAGCATTTACTCTGAATACCAGTCGGTTGCTTCTCTGCTTACGCCCTTGCATCAAAATCCCCTACAGCCAGGAGTGGCAGTGCATGCTTGTAATGATAGCACTCTGGGAGGCTGGGCCGGGAGGGAGGGTTGCAAGTGTGAGCCAGCCTGGCCAACCTGCTGGCTCCGTGAGATCCTGTCTCAAAAAAGACGGCTGGGGTGAGGCTCAGCGTGCAGGTCCTGGGTTCAGTCCCTGGTACCAGAACAACAAAGAGCCCTGGGCTGCAGAAAGCGAACCAAGTGCCGGCTCAGTTACTGCAAGCTGTGTCTGGGGAAGGGCGCAGAGTGCGGACTCCTCCTTCCGGTCTGCCCCGCAGGAGGGAGCCGGTGCTGGCCCAGCCCAGGATGTGGGCTTCGGTGGCACTGGCTGCTCAGCTCCTAAGCCTTGCTCTCCACCCTCACAGGTGACAGGGGAGGTGACCGACCCAGCAGGAAGAGTTCACTTTGCCCTTTTGGGGACCTGGGACGAGAAGATGGATTGCTTCAAAGCCCAGCCAGCCGCTGGGGAGAACGGGGGTGATGCCCGGCAGAGAGGCCACGAAGCGGAGGAGAGCAGGGTCACACTGTGGAAAAGGAACCCTCTGCCGTGAGTAGCAGTGCGGCCCTGCCCGGGCAGCTGGCCTTCCCCGAGCGGGGTGCAGGGCCTAGGGGCAGGGCACCTGGAAGCCCTGGGGAGGCCGCGCAGGCTGTCGTGGTGCCCCGTGGGGTGTGGGCCGCCTTGTCCCGAGAAGGTGCCCGCCAGCCACAGCACGTCTGCCAGGGGCTTTGTCCTCCCTTGAGGCCCACCACCGCGCTCCTGGGATTTCGCTCCGTGACCTAGAGCAGAACTGGCCCGAAGCAGGCGGCGGAAGAGAAGGAAGAGAAGGGTGCCGAAAGTCCCCAGTGTGCAGGACTGGGAACGGGCCAGTTGCACGCAGCCTAGACGACCAGACCAGCTCAGAAGGAAGCCCGAGTGGCCCCAGGGAATTCCCGCTGGGCGGTGCTCGGTGTTCACTGGCTTCCGGCCGGTCTGAGGGTCTTCCTGCCTGGAGAAGGCTCGAGTGAGGCGGACGCGCAGGGTGCAGAGGCGGTGCTCCGTGCTTCCGCACCCTTCACTGCTCCTTTCCTTCTCGTCCCCTGCTTCTAGGAAGAATGCAGAAAACATGTACTACTTTTCAGAGCTCGCGCTCACTCTCAACGCCTGGGAAGGGGGCACCGCGCCCACAGACAGCCGGTTGCGGCCCGACCAGAGACTGATGGAAAACGGGCGCTGGGATGAGGCCAATGCTGAGAAGCAGCGCCTGGAGGAGAAGCAGAGACTGTCCCGGAAGAAGAGGGAAGCGGAAGCCATGAAAGCCTCGGAAGACGGTAGCGCACCTGCCCGCCCACTGTCCCGGTGCACGGCGGGTGCGGCCCTGACTGGCTCGCTTTCCCCTTCCCTTGCAGGCACGCCACACGACCCCTATAAGGCCCTGTGGTTTGAGCGGAAGAAGGACCCTGTCACCAAGGAGCTAACCCATATTTATAGGGGTGAATACTGGGATTGCAAGGAGAGGCAGGACTGGAGCTCGTGCCCCGACATTTTCTGACGTGGCTGTAGCAAAGCAAGAGCGTCGGACGGAGGCAAGGGCAGAGGATGCGCGGCAGCGGGCCTGTGCGGCCTACCAAGCGCTTCCTGAGTTCGTCTGTCCTAACCAATCACTCTCCGCACCAGTCAGCAGAGGCAGAGCCCGGTGTGGGGATTGGCTGCTGGCCTTAGCGGTTGACCCAGAAATGGACGCTCCAGACCCCGGTGTGCAGGGAGAGGCAGGTGCAGTGGCTGAGCTGCTGAGGTCTGCTTCCTCGGCTCTTCCTCCCTCTGCCCCCACTGATGCCGATGTCCTCCCCGCGCGTTGCATCCTGTTGGTGCCGTCCAGGGCAAGCTCTCTCTGAAGTTCCTTAGAAAAGAAACACGGGGGACTGGAGCAGCAGGGCGCCTAGGTCTGACTCAGAGTTCACACCTGGCTGGCTGAGCGGCCTCCCCCAACGTGGCTGAGCTGCTGGGACGCCGTGGAGGCTGTTCGCCGGGGCTGGAGCGTTCGGTTCCTTTCTTGGCGTTGCCGTCCGCACTTGGGGGACGCCTGTCCCGTCTGCTCCTCTCCACCTCACAGCAGCGAGGCCAGCCGGGCGAGAGGGCCTCACGGCGCGGGGTGCAGCCTTCCTCGGGCCAAGAACTGAGACCCCAGGACGAGGGGGAACGACAGCCACCCTGACCCTCGGCCCCTCTCCCCGTCCTTCATTGCCTTCCTCGCTTCGCCAGCCCCGGGCCCAGGCGCCCGTCTGGAGCAGCACTCGCCTGTCCTGCTCTGATGTCCTTCAGAATCCGAGTGGCGTTAGCCTGGAATAGCTGTGTCACCGTCTCAGGCCCCGCGGACTGGAGCCGCCTCTGGAATGATGTGTTGAATCCCTGTATATTATATATATGTAGAGAAAAACCTAACTATTTGTTTGATTTCCTTGCTTCCCGTTAAGAGTCTTGGTTTTGATATCCGTGGCCTCCCCGGGACTTGGGCGTGTCGCCATGGGCGGGCGCCCTCCATGCACAGCTTCAGGGCCATGGGGAGTGAGCAGGTCACGTCTGGCCGGAACCGAGCGGGACCCTGTCCGTCGAAGCCTGAGCTGCCCGCTGCCTGTCCTCTTCTGTTACAAGGAGCCTGGTAGAACGTCGGGAGGGCGGCTTCCAGCGCACAGCATGAGCCCAGAGGCCTTCCTAGGACCAGGCGCTGGAGCGCCGTTCATCCCGGCTGGCAGTCGTGGTCCTGCTCCTTCCTCAGTCACTCAGTATTTGTTGTAGTTGTCTTGTTCAGAAGTTGCACCCCCGGGAGACCCACCCTTGGTTGAGGGTCACAAATTGAGGTGCCTTCCTTGTATGCTTTTTGTTAGTGGTTTTGTTTTCCTTAACTGCTGAGCCTCAGCCAGTGTGGGTCTGGGGGGAAATACCATTCCAGAGGAAGCCTTCCCTGCAGGGAAATTGGGCTTTACTGGGCAACTAGTACTTCTAATCCCCCTGCTCCCTCTGCCCTAGCTGCGATGAGCCTGAGAAGGAGTTTCTCCCGAGCGCCTTCCCCAGCACCAGCTAAGTTTGCCGTTGAAGCTCAGCCTCCTCAGCTGAACGCCCCACTTCCCGCCCTGTTCTTCCTCTACCGTCTGCACTACATTTCTGGCTCACCCCAGACCCCTGCTAATGGAAGGAGCTTAGAGCCTTCAGGTGGAATAAAGTCACATCAAAACAGAACTATATATATTTTCAGTTTTTTGGCCTTATTGCTTTTTTTCCAGAAAAATTACTAAATTAAATAATTTTTAAAAAGCCATACTGTTTGTTTGATTTGCTTCTGTTCTGCTAGGCTGGAAGTGGTGGACGGGGAGGGGAACTGGCCCAGGGCTGCTTGTGCTGTGTGGGCCCCTGGCAGCCCCAGGCCCTGGGCTTTCCAGACAGCAGACGGACGGACAGACAAAGCAGTCTCGCTCTTCGCCTCCGAGGCCCGAGCATGCCACTGTGCTCAACACTTCGCTCTGCCTGCCGTTGTTTTTAATTCTGGGCCCTGCTCTACCTCAAAATCAAAGCTGTGGGCTGGAGGCATAGCTGTAGCTTAGTGGTAGAGTGCTTGCCCAGCATGTGCCAGGCCTTGGGTTCAATCCCTGCTACCTCAAAAAAAGCAAAATTTTCTTAGATTTGATTTCTCTCCCATCTGGATTCTCAGACTCTGCTGTTCGGCCTAAGAGTTCAAATCCTGCTTCTTGCAACATAAGCAATTGAATTTTGATTGAAGACTGAGAAGGGGCATGACTGTGAACACACCTGATTTCCGTCTCTGATGTTCAGGTTTGGGAGGGGGTGGGCGCCAGTTATGTTCCCCTGCCTCCGCAAAGGAAGCTGGGAGCGGGGACCTGAGCTCCACCGTGAGCGTTTTCTGCATTGCACACATCTGCAGAGGAGGATCCCAGTCACTGAAGATAAAGGCACTCGGGCAGTAAAATCCAGGGTCACAGCTGCTCAGTCAAGTACTGGAATTCACAGCCCGAGCTGCACCAGCCCTAGCCCTAGCCGCTTGCTCGGGGAGCTCTGGGCTGCAGGGTGTCAGTTGGGCGGAGTCGGTTGCCAGGGCTCAGTGCCTGGAGCTCTGCTGGAGAAAGGCACGCCCTTGATACTCAGCCACCAGGACCCCAGGTCTCTGCAGGGCTCCTCCTGTCCACAGAATTATCTTACTTTGTCATTTTTCCAGCCTGGCTATTGGGAAGGCCGCTTACCTGTTTCATTTGCCTGGCTCCTGTTGGTAGGTTTGATGCTGAATTTCACAAAAGCTTTTCCCTTGCAAGATACAAACTACTACAGCAGATGCGTGACAGAGAGCTGCATCTCGTGATCCTGAGGGCCGCCGTGGCGTGTGATGTCCTGAACGCGCGGTCACCAGAAGGAAAGCACGGCGCAGTCCTCCGCGGAGTCCTGTGTGACCCGATGGGCGGGGAAGCGGGGTTGTGGGTCTGTGGGGCCGCTCAGAAGTGTGCTTCAGCAAGTTACGATCGTCACGGTCGGGCCTCGGAACCCCACAGAAGCGAAGAGTACCTCAGGCTCTGCCCTGTCCGACAAAGAACCAGAGCGGTGTGTAGAGAAACCAGGCTGCAGCAGCAGGTGAGTGCCTTGTGAAACTCCAGGAGTATTACCGAGGTGGACGGCACACCTCTAAACGCCTGTACAGCTTTCGCCCAGTCAGGGCTCTGCCCAGCAGGAGCTTTCTGAGCCTGGGCACTGCTCTCCTGTCCCAAAAGTGAGCGGGCTTCCCTCCTCTCTACCCAGTCTCAAGTGCCTGGCCTGGCCATGCTGGTCTGGAGAAGCGGGCACGGAGGCCAGACGGGGCTTCTTGTTTTTGAGACCGGGTCTCACTATGCAGCCCAGGCTGGCCTCGAACTCGGGGCAATCCTTCTGCCTCAGCCTCCCGAGTGCTGGGATCACAAGGTGCACCCCCACACCCGGGGAGGCTCCTTTTAAAGGCAAGATGCCAAGCTGCTCAGAATCTACAGCCCAGCAGGGGCCTCAGCCGCTGAGCTTGACCACGTGATTTTGGAAACTACTAAAAACGTGTCCCTGGGACGTGGCTAGGAGTGTTTTCATTCATCATTCATTCATTATGCCACATTTGCCCGAGACATAGCCTGTTCTGTAACATAGACTGGGTACACATGACAGAAAGCGCTTAGGCAGCTGCGATCTAGTTGGATTTTTTTGCCCCAGTACTGGGAATCGAACTCAGGACCTTGCTCTCTTGCGAGGCAGGCATGGTGCCACTGAGCTACATCCCCAGCCCTCTGGTTTGATAAATGGTGTAAAAGCACTGAGGAGGGCCAAGGGGGTGTGGAGAGGGGCTCTCGACCTGTCAGAGGCAGGTTCTCCAGACAGAAGAGTGTGAGCTGAGAGCTGTGGGTCCAACGGGTCAGGGACGGGCAACGCGGAAAACGCTGCACGGACAGAATAGAGAATGAGGTCGAAAAAAGCATCCTGAATTCGGACGACTGAAAGAGCAGTGGTGTTGGAGGTCCCTGGGGAACGAGGAGAGGTGGCGCTGGAAAGAGGTAGGGCCAGGATTGGGAAGTGTTCCTCATATACCTCGTCAAGAAGCCTTGGATTTCTGGCAGAAGATTGGTTCCAGTGTGGAAGACGATTTGTAGCCTGAAGGCCAATTAAGAGGTTGGAGGGACGTGAAGAGAAGTAGAGGGGTTCCAGAAACTCTGCAGTGGAAGGATGCCATGGTTTGTGTCTGGATGTCCTCCTAAACCCTCGTGCGCTCACTGGGGGCTTTGGGAGGTGACCGGATCCTGGGACGTGGCCTGGAGGTCCTCTCTCTCTCTCTCTCTCTCCCTCTCCCTCTCTCTCCCTCTCTCTCCCTCTCCCTCTCTCTTTGTACTCTGCCACGTCGCCCTGATGACTTGGAGCCAGCTAACCACAAACTGTGAGCCTAGATAACCCTTTCCTCCTTTAGGTTGTGGGCGTGTTGTGTCTCTGAGATGAGGAAAGTGAGACCATGCACAGCACTTGGGTGTGATTAAAATGAGGAGTGAAAGAAACTTGCAATTCTCTGCCTTGGGAAATCTACGTGGACGTGGTAATAAAATGACTTTAGAAGGAAATGTAAGTTCGTTTTTTCAACATGCTTTGTTGGAGGTGCCTGTGGAGATGTCAGATGATTTTTAGAGTGGGTTTTATATGCAGTAGCTCCATTTGTGTGAACACTGAGACTAGAAGACAGAGAAAGGGCAGAGTAAAATCACTCAGCCGACTGGTGTGTGTGTGCATGTGTGTTCTGGGCCTCCCTCACAGTTACTATGCCGTTCTATCTCTAATATGAGTAAGAACAAACTGTCTCGCCCACATCATGCACAAGTAGACAAGTGACCAGTGGACGATTAGATCCACGTACCTAGCCCAGGGTAAGATGTACTCCGGTGCCAGTTTTCCAGCGCTGCACACCGAATTCCCATCCACGCAATTCTGAGGGCGAGAGGCCCCAGGTGCTGTGCCATGCCATCTCCTCTGTTCCAGGTGACTCGAGGCTGAAATCCACAGTGCCCAGGCTGAGCTCTCATCGGTGGGCCCTGGGGGGCCTGCTCCCCCCTCATCCTGCCTGCAACTTTCTGTGCCTGCAGCCCCGCGGTGAGTACTGGTTTCCCTGAAGGCGGGTAGCTGCAGCCACCCTGGCTCCTAGGCCCCGCCTGCTTCTCCTGGCCTGTGCTCCCTCCGACCTGGGGCTGGGCCAGCGAGGCAGGGTCCGTCCTTCTGCATTCTGAGGCCCTTCTGCAGCCACCTGGGGAAAAACCTCTGCTTTGAAAGGGCTCTTGCAGTTAGCTCAAGCCCATGCACATAATCACATACTTTAGAGTCAGCTGTGTTAACAATATGAATTTAAAGATTTTTCTCGCAAGACATGATGCGATTGGGCTGGGGATGTAGTTCAGTGGGTCAGCACCTGCCTCGCAAGCACAAGGTCCTGAGTTCAATCCCTGGTACCAAAAGAAGAAGAAGAAGAAGAAGAAGAAGAAGAGGAAAGACAAGATGGGATTCAGCAAGTTAAAGTATATTTTTAATGTGAGGTTTAGCAAATCAGTGCTTTTAATGAATACTATGCCGTGAATACCACAAGACGTGATAACACCGGAAGTCTCCGTGTGAAACCTTTACAGGTGGCCTTTCTGTGTCTTTTTGCTTCGGTTTTGTTGTATTCTTCTTTCTTTTTTCTCTTTTTACACTGTTCAGGATCAAACCCAGGGCTTGGCACATGCCAAATCCTCTTCTAAGCATTTCTGGTATCCAAATTGATTACATATGTAAAAAAAAATAACTGAAATGTTCATAACTTTTGACCTTGTAACATCTGCCTTCATACAAGAGCAGCACATTTATACACATATATGTAAATATCTGCATAATAAAATCAAGGAGAAAAAGGTGAGACCTAGAGGGAATGTCTGCTAAACAGACGGCGCTGTCCAGGCAGTCCAGCTGTTTCTGGGCTGACGTGAAGTTATAAGCATTAAACAGGTCCATATAAATGCGGGGAGTGGGGTCCCCATGAATTATTTTTATATGAGAAAGATTTCAAGGCAATTAAAAGCCTTAGAAAAGTAGTTATCTATCAGTTTTTCCTCTGTAAACCAGGTCCTCGCCTTCGCTCTTCCATAACTGGTGTAAAATGTTTGCCACCGGCTAAACTTGCGTAATGAGCTCTTCCGGTGCTATAAAACAAATGCTTCATTGTAATACATAGAAGAATGGGCCACTGGGGTGCAGCTGGAATAGCTCAGTTGGGAGAGTGTTAAACTGAAGATGTAAAGGTCCCTGGTTCAATCCTGGGTTTCGGCAGTGGTTTTATAAACCTCACAGCTGCTCTGCACTTTGGAAATAATCCCGAGTTGCTCAGTCACTTTCTGGGCGTTACCTCTCCCACACACGGTGCTTCTTTTAAACTCCTGAGTGGAAGTCAGCTAAGCTCCCTGGGTTTGGGTCTGACGGTCCCCTCCCTGCGGACCCCAGGATCGAGGTCTGCTCTGCAGGGCGCTGTAGGGTTCGGCCGACCCAGACCCTGGCCATAGCTCAGGGGCTGTGCCTGGCCCAGGAAACCTGCTCACTTCCTTCCCCAAGCAGACCTATCCGATTTCGGATCCTCAAAGCCTCACAGCGTGCAAAGCAATCTGCTTCCATCACCGACCTGTCTGTGCCTGGGAAGGATGAGCCCAAGGGCAGAATCACCAGGGGACCCCCAGCAGGAGCCCTCATCTGTCACCAGGAGCTGTCCACACCCCTGTGGGGTTCAGGTGGAGCACAGGGCAGTCTGGAGGCCCCGGACTGGAGCCTAATTTTTAAAACTAGCAAAGGACAGCAAAGCAACTTTGTAAGACGCTGGGCCGCCCCCTCAGGGGATGCGACAGACACACACTTGGCTGCGGCAGCTCCTTGGGTTTGGCCAGGCCAGGCAGGAGGAACCTTGGGGAGAGTGGTGAGATCCGGGTCTCAAAGGCAAAAGGGAGACTGACTCTTTGCAGCCCCCTCCTGTTCATCCGCTAAGCTGCCTACCGAGGAGGGGCTCCATCCTCTACAGGCTTTGGTTCTTGGGTGGACAGATGCGTTTTATTAGGGGGTTTGGGGAAAATCCAGCGATGAACAAAAGCAAGGAAACCAAGATGGTGGCCAAATACGTGGACAGTGCGGCTCTGAGCGACGGTCGGCCTGAGGTCCTGGGCGTTTCATGAGCATGCGTGGTCGGACTGCAGCAACCAGTTGCTTGGTCTAGAAGTTCTTGGGGAGGTATCTGCTTTTAAAGATTTGATGAGCATTTGCATCAGCAGGCTTTGAGGACATGTGGTTATTGGAAGCCCCGGAGGGCAAAGCTCTGGCGAGGAAGAAGGCTCTCTCAGAACTCAGACAGGAAGAGCGCCTGGGTCTCCAGCTCCATGCCCCGTGGAATGCGGAATGGACTGCCGCATCAGCTCACTTAGATTGCAGATTGCTAAACCTGCTCCACAGGTTTTGAACCTCTCCACCTCCACAATTGTTTAGACCAAGTTCTTAAAATCCATCCGTCTCTAAGTCTGTTTTCTTCTCTATCTCTTACGGCTGGAATCCAAATGTCCCCCCAAAGCCCCGGAGTGCAGGGGGTCCTGTTGTGGCCAGTGGAATTCTGAGTAACTGAATGGATCTGAGGCTCCACCTCACCACGTGGGTCACTTCGTGGTAGATTAATAGCTCAGTGGGCTCACTGGGCAGTGCAGCCTAGTTGGATGAGGTGGGCACTGCGTGCGGTTGTCTTCGAAGGGTACATCTCGACCCTCCAGCTGGGCTGCAGCGTACCTCGAGGCCCTCCCTGGCTCTTCCGTGCTCCGCTTCCCGGCTGCCCTGAGGTAACAGCTTTCCGCTCTGAAGGAATCCAGCGGCCGCACCCTGATCCCAGTTGTCTCTAACCCGCCACTCTCAGCACGACCGAATCTGGAACCGACACCACCAGCCCTGCTATTGATAGCAGCTGGGCTCCTGTTACCCCTTTCGCTCTCTCAGGCTCACTCTTGTCAGGAAGCTGCAACCCTTTTCAGTGAACTCCACCCTCCTACAAAAGAGCCCACAGCCTGGAGGAGGGCAGCGGTCTGGTCTCCAGGGCCAGAGCCTCCCTCTCGCGTTTGTTCTGCAGTAAACCCGTCCTGTGAGCTCATACCCGTTTCTTTTCCTTTTTCCTAACACTTTCCCATGGCCTTTTAAAAAAGCACAACATTTATTGATGCATTTTAGATATACATAAGGACAACATCCATCTAGGGAATCTGGCCCTGTGCATGATGCATCTCGCTTCTACTTTTTTTCTCCCATGCCCTTCTGCCACAATGTTTCAGTGGACTGAAACATCTGAAACCATGCGCCAAAATAAATCTTTTCTATAGTTGGATAAATGTACTTACAGGCTATGGTTTCTGTTTCCCGGGAGTCCCACCGAATAGGCTACCTGTACCTCACTGGTCCTGTTTCTGGGGAAGCCGGATAGCGTGTTTTACCCAGGAAGGGGGGAGCGAGACTGCACTGCTGCCCTCAGCCTCGAGATCGTCCACCTCGGCCTCACGGGGGGAGTCGCCCCCGGAAACCTGGGCCTTTGCCCTCGAAGCCCTAGCCGTTCTCAGCGCGGAGCGGAGTCGCAGCGAGGCGTGCTGGGGCTGCCGGAGGCCGCAGGTCCCGGGCCGAGTCATCTGGCTGTCCCTGGAAACCCGAGGTTTTCCTTGGCGTCGTCATCGCGCCCCAAATTTTGTTTTCTGACGATGCCGTACAAACTGGAGTTCCAAGCCCTCCGCGTCTTTAAGAATGACTCATTTCCTGGCATCTCCCTTTCTGTACATGAGACACACGTTCATACACTTGTTTTTCTCTTTCTATTCTTTTATTACGAGAGTCAGGTGCTGGGAGGAAGGAGGGCAAGGGAACAGAAAGGGAGGTGACATCCAGCTAGCCCGGGAAGAGCACAGGCCCGAAAGCCGGAGGTGTCCGGGTGCGTCCTGGGGCGGACCGAGGCCCCAGCTGCGCGTGCGCGGGGACGGCTATGGGCGGGGCGAGGGAGGCCGAGAGGCCGGCCGTGGGTGGGGTGTGGCCGAGGGCGTACCCTTCGGTGGGCGTGACCGGGATCGCTTCACTCCTTGTCCGTTTCTCGGCTTGCGGACTGGGACGTGGCTGCCCTCGGGTCCCGGCCTTGGCCGTGCGCTGCGGCTGGGACCCTTGGCTCCTCCTGCTCGCGGCCGGGCGGGGCGCAGCCTCATCTTTCGGGGCGGGGTCTCAGCGTCCAGATCTGCATCCGCAGCCCGGCCCAGATGGGTGCCTCCCCTCGCTGGCTGCGTGTAGTCCCTCTGCGCGGCTCGCGGCTTCGGAACCGAGGGGATCGCGGGCGGGGCGGGGTCCAGAATCCACCGGGAAGGCGTCTGCAGGTTCGCAGAGAAGCGGAGCACTCTTAAGGCACTGGAGCAGAAGAACACGTGGTGAGCCCGGGTAGCTCAGTCGGTAGAGCATCAGACTTTTAATCTGAGGGTCCAGGGTTCGAGTCCCTGTTCGGGTGTAGCTGCTTTTTAAGTTATTTTTGCACCATGAGAACCGGTGTTGGGGGGGTACCTGTGTCGGCGGCATTTAGAGAAAGCCGTGTTCGGATCCTCGGTGGCCACCTTGCCCCGGGGCCGATGTCCGCACGGCCGCGCCGAGGCCTGGGGGCGCCGCGCACGTCTGCGGGTGACAGCGGGGCCAAGTCGGGGCTCCGGGACGAGAGGCAGAGCCGGAGTGCGCCCGAGCGCCCCTACCCGGTCCTCCTCCTCCTCCTCCAGGCCTCCAGCCGTGGTGGTCGCTCTGTCTCAGCCCCGACCTTGCGGCCGGCCTGTCCGGGCGCGGACGAGAGGCGCTCTCCGTTCGGCGGCACTGCGCGGCCTTTGGAGCGGAGCCCGGCCGCTGCTGCAGCAGGGCGGGGTTGGGCACCGCCGGCCTGGGGCGGTGAAGGGCGGCCAGGCCGGGCCTCCTTGCTCCCGCTGTTCTCCAGCCTCACAGCTCAAAGCAGGGCGCTCCGGGAGGCAACATTTGGAGGAAAAGTTGGAGAGAAGGGAAACGAATTCTTTCTGTTTCAAATTCCCCTAGGCACGTGCAAGGAAGCGTTCGTCCCTGCCGAAATAGCTCAGTTGGGAGAGCGTCAGACTGAAGATTAAAAGGTCCTAGGTTCGGTCCCAGGTCTCGGCAGGTTGCCGGTGCCCCCGCAGCGACAGACGCGAAGCCGGCCCCCAACATGGGTCTTTCCCCGGATTCACAGGCGGCCAGGGCCTTAGCCCTGGCTTCTCCTGAGCTCCGTGGTTTAATACTTGCGGACGCGAAGCAGCACATCCTGACAACAGGCCACGGGGCATTGGTTTTTTGAACAGAAAAGTACTGCATGTCAGTTCATAGGGAAAACTGATACAAAGCAATCTGCAAAGCCGGCTGCGTCTCGCCCCATCTCTGAACTCCCAGCCTGGGCCCAGCCGGGTTTCCCCCAACACCCGGGGCTCGCTCGGGACTCCGGAAAAGCGAGTGTGGATTTTAAAATAGGCTTCGCCCAAACAGGGACTCGAACCCTGGACTCTCAGATTAAAAGTTTGATGCTCTATCGACTGAGCTCCCCGGGCCCTGCGGGCCGGTACCGCCCTCCGCCTGTCTGGCAAAGGCGTCACGGAAGGGCTGTGATCCTGCGAGGCGAGGGCCGGATCCACCGCGACCCCCCGGCCCCCGGGTCTCTTAAGCGCTTGCCCCGCCTTCTCCGAGGCAGGCGGGACACGCTATCTGTCAGGTTATCCCGCGCTTTGGGATTCCCCGGTTCCACTCAGATCGGAGCTTCTCAGGCTGGGATTTCTGAGCGTTCAGCGGAGAAACGTGCAAAGCACCCACGTCCTCAGTGCTGCAAGGTTCTGGAGGAAGCGGTAGATGTTGGAAAATCACAGCAAACGCGCTGCGTCCTCCCCCTCCCTCCCGGCCTTGCAGCCGCGTTCGGGCCGTCCCGTCTCCCCGGAGGTACCTGAGGACCGAGCCCGGTGGTCCCGGCGCCGCCTTGGTTCCTCCGCGCCGCCCGCGGGGCCACCCGAAGCCTCTCGCAGCGCCGGCCCCTCCTCAGTCCTCCCGCGCGTCCGCCCGCAGGCCGGCCGGCTCCTCCTCCCGCCCCTCGGGCCTTTGCGCGGCGGCGCAGCAACATCGGTGGAGAGGATCGGGTCTGCTTTCGGTGGACGCTGCCTTCGCTCCTTCCCAGCCGTGGATTCTCAAGTCGTCCCGCATTCTCTGCTCTGGCGAAAAGGAACTGTCTGGGGTTCAGATTCAGACCCAGATCCCGGCGTCTGCGCACCTAAAGTCCCAACAGGGAACGCCGAAGGGCGAACACAGAGCCGCCAGAAGTGGGGTTCGAACCCGCGCACCCCAGAGACCACGGAGCCCTAAGTCCGACGCTCTAACCATTCGGCCACCCCGGCACCCTGCCGGATGGCGTTTTCCTTCCGGGCGACTCGGGCAACACGGACTGAAGTTTCCGAACAGCTCGGGATGGATTCGGATCGCGAGCGTTGCATGGAAACAGAACGAGCAAAGCCACGCTCAGCCCGCGTCTCCTCGATCGCATCTCGTGGATCTCTGGGTTCAGTACCCAGAAACCGGAGCCCCGGGAAAGCGATGGAGGAGCCTCGGGAGGGGGCCCGACGCGCCGGAGCGACCGCCTTTGTCCCCAACCAGGGCGCGGCCGAGTGCGGATTAAAGGCTTCTGTCACTTTAATTTTCTTTATCCGACTTCATCAAAACAAAAGCGACTCTGGTGGGACTCGAACCCACAACCTTTGAATGTCTTTGTTTGTCTAGAAGTCCAATGCGCTATCCATTGCGCCACAGAGCCAGATGCTTGGAGGTTGCCCCGAGCCGCCTACAGCTCCGTGGCGGGCGCGCGTTCTCGCCCCGGGAGCCGCGCCGGGCGGGCGAGGAGCAGGAGCATGAGCGGCAGCGGCGGGGGAAGCCGGGCACGGGCGGCTCGGTCCCGGCGGGCGCAGGCCGAGGGCTGCGCGCGGGGTTATTACGCCCGGAGGCGGCCGGCCACCGCGCGGTTCCATAGTGTAGCGGTTATCACGTCTGCTTTACACGCAGAAGGTCCTGGGTTCGAGCCCCAGTGGAACCACGGGCGGCCCCGCTGGTATTTTGAGGGTGCTCGGGGCTCCTTTTGCGAGCTAGGGGTGCTGGGTTTTGTCCCGGGATATGGAGGTGCAGCCGGGTGCTCTGCCCGAGGCGTCCGCCTGCGATTGCACCCCGCGTCCGACCCGCGCAGGGCGTCACCGGGCGCCCGTTAAATGACCAGATTCCGGTCCACTTTCCGCGCGCGGTTCCATAGTGTAGCGGTTATCACGTCTGCTTTACACGCAGAAGGTCCTGGGTTCGAGCCCCAGTGGAACCAGGGCGTGGGCTTTGTCCCTTTTAGGGAAAAATCACCCATTTAGGGCGAAAGTTAGCTTTTGCGAGCCAGAGTTCGCCACGTCCAGCTGGAGACGCGCGAGTCGTCCTCTCCGCTGCCTTCGGCGCTCGCAGCCGGCCTGTACCGGCCCGGTTCTCGGGGCGCTCGGGCCTCCCGTGGCTCACGGCTGCCCCCGCGTGGCGGCTCCGCGGAGGTGCAGCCGGGCCCCCTGCGCCTGCGCAGTTCGGCGGCCAGCCTTCCCGCGGTGCTCGCTCGCGTCCCCGATTCCGCGCGGGCCGGCCTGGAAGCCGGAAGTCACGTCCGCGGCCTCGCTTTCCGACAGCTCGAAGTACGTTACGGGCAAGCCAACCCCACGCACAGAGGGTACGGGGCGCGCCGGGTCTCCCGGGGGGCTCCCTCGTCCAGTGCTCTCTGGCTTTCTGTGTAGATTCACATGCAGGACATTTGCACAACTTTTTCTTTTCCTCTTCGGTTTCCGCGCGGGGCCCAGAGCGCCAGGCTGCGCCCGCGCGTGCTGGCCTCGAGCTCCGGGCCCGCTCAGGACGAGGCCGCTCTGCGTCCCGCGGGCGTGCAGCCTTTCAGGGTCCCCCTCACCCTTCACCGCTGTTTCGGGAGCGGGCAGGGGCCTTGCAGTTCCTTGCTTGGAAAAATCCTGCCCCACTCTGAGTCGTATCCCGGGACCCGAGGTCGTGTTGCAGGACCGTGCTGTCTCCCCCGGTGACGGTCTGGTGACAGCTTTCCAGGTGCTTAGGGCTCTGCCGCCTCCGGGTCGGGCGTCTGCGGCTCTGGCTAGGGAACCGCTCCGGGCTGAGCACCTGGGTCTGCCTGCTGGGCCTCTCCAGGGTGTCTCCTGCCTCAGCCTCAGCGGACCTTCTCCTTGGGTGCAGATCTGCGCCCCCATCCCCACCCCACTGGCAAGGGCGCCACCCCACGGCCACATTGGATTTTTTTGTGTGTGTGCTCAAAATAAATTTTGTTTTATTTTGTGTTTACTTTTCTTTGAAAGTTTTTTATTAGTATGTATTTGCGGTATGTAGTGATTACATCCATCGTGGGAATAGACACGTGCATAGCACATCTCAATTCTTTTTAATTTTTTTTTTACATCTCAATTCTTTTTATGCCCTTTCCTCCCCTCCCTCACCCTCCATCTCTAGATCCTCTTCCCCATTCCCTTTGCAAAACACCTATCTTGCTGTTGCCCATTGTCTTTTATCTTGCTCTTCAAATTATTTATACTTTGGGTTCCTGACACGTGAAGCCACGTGATATTTAAGCTTGTACTGTTGTGCCCAGATTGTGAGGTCCCAAAGACCACCAGGAGGCCGTTTCCGATGTAAGCGCACGAGGGTCGTTTATTCAAGCTTAAGCAGGGACTCTCAACTGTCACCGACACAGCGGATCGAGATTGAGAGCCCCGAGTTCCAAATTAGCGGGGTTTTTATAGAGGTTACAGCAAGGTTTGGAGATTTTCCACTTAGCAGTTACGTGATTGGTTAACATTTAGCGAGCATGAAGTGTACATTTCTGATTGGCTGAACTCATCAGGGGTAAGGGGGGATTATGTATAGGTTTTACAAAAGAAAAGAAGGACAAAGGTTAGTGGGCAACTGTCACGTATTGATGGTCAGCAGACACGGTGACTAATGGTCACGACCACCCAGCACTGACACTCAGCACATTGACAGACGGTTCCTACAGATAGTGGGCCCAGGATGTTCATTTCCTGGGTAAACAGATGGCTGAGTAATTAACTTAGGAACTTTGGTTTGTTACAGATTGTATCTTCTGTCCCAGAGCAAACACATTTTAACCATTAATTTGAGAGGCTAGGGGAATGGTGGATTTTAGCAGAATGGAGTCGCTTTGGTCTCACAGTACATCTGATTTATTTCACTTACACGATGGCCGCAAGGTGCATCCATTTTCCGACAAAGGACTAAAATTCATCTTTCTTCATGGCAGAGCAGTACTCCGTTGCGTGTAAATGCCATATCTCCTTTGTCCGGTCATCTGTAGTGGACTGGAGGCCACGTCCAAGATTTGGCTGTTATGGGTTGTGCTGCTGTACACATGAGCGTGCATGGGTCGCTGTAGCGTGACCCTAACTCCACCTCTTAACTTGGTTTTGTCTGTGACGACTACAAAGAGGGTCACCTTCTGAGGTGCCGGAAGTTGGCATTTCAGCGGAGGATTGCGGTGGATGCAATTCAACCCATAGCGTAAGTCGTCTAAAACAGCATGCGATTTTGCCTTCACACACAGACCGGAAGTTCCAGTCCGTCCCTGGCCGGCTTCAACGCAGAAAGCTCGATGGAAGGGCGGAGGGCAGCTGCTCCCTTCAGGGTGGTCAGCAAGCAGAGAGAGGAAGGAGCAGGCAGCAGGGGACGCGCCCCTTCTGCCCCACCTAGCAGCCTATGTGGGGTCCTGCGCCCAGGCGCCTTCCACAAGCGCTGCCGGGGGTACAAGAGGCCCTGGGGGAAGAGCTCAGATCCGGGCCCCATGCCGCTGTAACAGGGTCCTGCCGGAGACACTGCAGTCAGGCTCCAGTGCCCACCTGCCCAGTGTGGGGCGCAGGCCTGAGAAAAAGAAGGCACTGAGAGACAAAACCAGGAGAGAGCGCGCGGGGCCCAGGAGGAGCAACGCCGGGGCAACTGACAAAGGCCCTGGGCAGTCCCAGAACTGACTTCTATTGGCAATCAACTGGGGTAAAAGCGATGTGTGGTTTCTATGGAAATTAATGTAAACAAGGCTCAGAAAGGACAAGACAAAGCACTCTCGAATTAGGAACAGAATAGACAAAATATATGGTTGTAATTGGAACATTGCCCTTCTAGTCAGAAGGTTTTAGTTGTGGGAATGGAATTTGGGTGCGGGTTACTCTGACCTCGGCACGCAGGCTTCGGCCGGACCCACTCGTATAAATACAAGCCGATTGTGGGGTTAGCTCTTCACAGCCTGCTTGGGCGTAATCAGTACTACGACCTCCGCAGGATCCTGCTGCAGGAAGCTCACGGAAGCGGACCTCATGCGGAGGGTTCTTCATGCACCAATTCCAGCTAAAAGTGCCCCACGGCAGGCTGCGGGGCGGAGGTGAGGCCTGCAGGGCAGAAAAGCCGAGTAGCAGCTGGCTCGGGACAGTCTCGGGGGGCCCCACCTGGTCCCCAGCCTGCAGCACCCCAAGGGTGC